ATTTTCTGCTATTTTAACTTGAACTTACATAATGTTAAGATTGTTTGTATTTCTACACCTATAATATGTGATGTACATTTATTCACATTTTAAAAACAGGAAGTAAACAGTGTCTACAGTGACCAGACGTATTTCTCAAAATAGCATCAGACTGTACCAGACTACATCTAAATCCAACATGAAACAATTCACTTTCACTTCCGTCTCCAAGAGTCAGTGACTGGAGAGTTACGACGCTGGCCCATATCAAACAATGGCGAGCGGCTGTTGGCCACAGGGAAATTACTCAGGAGTGACTTTTACCATCTTCTTCTAAGTCAGCAGTAGCCAAAGCTACTATAAATCTGTTATAAATCTGAATGGCTACAGCTGCTTCTGGGGATTTCTCAATGAGAAGAAGTGATTCATTTTGACCAGATATTTCCAGCCAAGATTTTCTGTAGAGTAGTGAAACACAACCACACCTGTTGTTTCCTCTGTGGTTTGTAGAGCTCTTTGTTAGTAATGTATGTCTGTGGTACAGTGCCAACAATCTTCGACTTCCGATACATCCAGCTCTAAAATTAAGTATTCGATGACTAAGTCAGGCTTGTTTTTTGGAAACTTTTATAACTTCACAGCTACATGAACTCTGTGTCACAGTGCACAGATTTAGAAGTGGAAACTCATCCATTGCTACACACCACTCATACCCCTCCGCACTGTAAACACAACACAGCCGCTGCAACAAGACTGAGCACCAGTTTCCCTCAAGCCTATAGAAAAAAGTTCAAAGACGAAACTGCAGGATTTCTCATGTTTATAATATAGCAAGAAAAAGTGACTATTCCAAGATTTAACATATTTCAGCTACATTAACCACAAATATCAAAACAATACAAAACTTAACCTTATAATCATGTCTTGGTGAGTGGAAACAGCTACAGAATATACATTTTAGAATAATTTTTCAGATTGTTTATGCGCTTCCTTTAAGAATATTTGCATTTCTTACCTTTCCCTTGACTTGTTCACTTTGCCCACTGCTTGGAAATTTTTAAAAATGCACTTAATTTCACTTTCCACCAAACATGTGGGAAGAGGTGAAAGTTATCTGCCTTCCAAAACAGGTGTGAAATTTCAGGGTGATGAACAAATAGCACTTGTTGACACGTTTCGCATGTTTCACCTCATCTCATTGTTTTCCTAGTTTTCTTTCACAGTCCTCCTACGTTGCTGACATCCTATATTTCTATAAAATAAATAAATAAATACATAAAAAAAAGATTAAAAGAAAGCGAAAGAAAGAAAAACTCACTGAGAAAAACATGAAAGCCGTCAGAGGAGAGGAGAGGCCTGGATGAGGAGTCCCAGCGGTCAGTCAGTGTACGGCAGCAGCACGCTGGCACTGGCAGTACCGGTTCCGGCTCACTGTTGCTGGATCATTATGTAATCGGATGAGCACAGTCTGCTTCTCCTTGCATGTGAAGCCTTCTGTGTCCCCACAGGGACAAGTTAAAGAAGCTTGCGCTGTCCACTCCTCCAGGGTCCACCCAGCATGCCTCTCTATATAAACCCAAAACTATTCAGACGGACAGTGCTTCGCAACATTTTTAATTCATTAATTCAACTCCCCTCCCAGCTTCTCCTCCTACCCTCCCTCTCAGTGTCTCTCCCTGACTGTACGCTATAAATGGGCCTCTTTGTTGCAAGGCCTCCTCCGCTGTTTCAGCCTTTGTCAACTTTCTCATGTAAATGTTCGATGGTCATAAGATACAAGCCTGGAAGTTGTCGCACTGAAACAGAGGTATTTACAAATCAAAGGCAAGAAAAGAAAAAACGAAAACCTTGGCTTCTTGCAGTTTTGCGTTGGCCAGTGTGCGGTGAATGGATAATGTCGGTGCATCTCTGTGAGGCTGTGCCATGCCCGCCTGCAAAGAGGAGGACTTTGGTAGTGTAACGGCGAGTACACACGGTCCTACTGTGAATGGATGGCACGAGATGG